GTTTTTATAGAAAAGAGTGGTAAAACTAACAATTAATTTTTAATAATAATAGTAATAATAATAAATCAAAAAATTAATAATAATAATAGAATAAGAAAATAATAATTATGAAGTAATTAATTATAATAATTATTAACAAATAATAATAATTATAATAGAAGAAGAAAAAAAACAAAAGAAAAGGTAAAAGAAGAAAAAAACGGAGGTGGGGGGAGGAATGGAGGTCACTGGAAGGCAGGAGAAAGAAGAAGAAAAGAAGAAGAAGAAGTGAAGAAAAGAAGAAGAAGAAGAAGAAGAGGAGGAGGAGGAGGAGGATAATGGAGAAGAAGTATTAACGGAGGGAATGACGGATTGTTACCCTGGAGTCAGTTTTCGAATATCTTAAGGTACCTCGGATTATATTTTGAAAAACAATGGGACCTGCCAGTCTTTATCCCAAAATTAGGGGTACCCAGCAGCAATTTTTTGGCAAAAGCTACATCCCTTGAAAAGTCAACAATCTGTCTCAAGTGAATCGGTTATTGCACGAATAGTTTCACCAATCACCAATGTCATATTCAATCACTTTATTTACTATTCTTGAGGCTAAATCTAAATATACAATGAACATGTGTGATTGTGATATAGTTGTGGAAGGCGTTTGCCTCATTCACCCTATGCCTCTGAGGTATCCCATTTCCCCGGCGAATGACTCACCTTCCTCCCATATTTTTTTTGGAAGTTCTTAATGCTAGCAACTTTGTTTAATGTTTCTTTGATCTTCTTCAAAAATATAGATCCATACTGCAAATTTTTTACTACCTGATTAATAGAATTTATTTATTATTGTTTGTTTTTTTATCTTTTATTATTTTAATCATTTTTGTGTATAACATATTTTGCATCATTATTAAAATTAATTGAATTCAGTCAACCATTGTAATCTGCAATGGGACAATTGATTTGGGATGGAGGGAGTATATATATAACACTCACACCATGTTTGCTCTTTGACTGCCTGCTCTCCCCTCTCCCCTTAAAAAGATCCTCTTGCCCTCTCCCGCCTTTCAAAGCTATGGTATGTGAAGAGTGAAGAACATCCATTTATGCAAAGTTCTTTTGGCCACCCTCATTATTGATGCAGCTTTTGAGAAACAAAGACCCTTCATACTTGTATGTAGTTTTCAGTCCACATCTTTACTCCGTCCATCAGAGTGTTATCAAACTAATGCTCAAGAATCCAAGATACAACATCCTACCCCCCAAATGTTAATAAAAAATGGACTCGGTCACAGATGATACCTGTGGACTGTGGTGCTGAAATAAAATTCAAGGGTGTTCTCCTTTTTCTTTGAAGGAAATGCATTCTTCATTTTCATCCTATTATTATGTTATGCTGCATTTTTAGTGTAGCTGCAAACTAAGAACCTATCTGTTAAAAGTATAAATAGAATTAATATTCTGTTGCACCTAGAAGATGGTTCATGAGAGTCAATGGTGGTATAAAAATGTGTGGTTTCTTTTATTTGAATTCCCCTGTAAGTTATGTGGGAATTGGGCAGTGAAATGATGAACAAGAATAAAAATGCTATATCCCCACGTATTTGATGCGTGAAGTTGATAAGTTTGCATGAACACCAAATAACCATTAAATAAGGTTAAAAGGGAAGGGTACTACAACAACAATTTAGTAAATATAAATATGTAATTTATTCTCATCTAATCCCAGTATTCATCAAACAAGGGAATTGTATTAATTCCATAAAATGAATTTTTAACAGTCTCTTTCATTTCAATTGTATATTTATTCATCATGTTGGGTTTATAAGCTAAGTCTAGCATCATTGCAGGCATTCCGACATTTTTATGTTTTGGCGACAGAAGCTCGTTGTATTCAGACAGTTGATGTCGACACTGCATTGCCTGTCTATGTACCACTTGAAGTTACCATCCGGGAAACTAATTACTATGCAGGAACAAGTTTTTGTGAGATCTCCCCATGCATTCTTCCAGAGCGTGCCATTGTAAGTTCTAGGTGGTTGAGTTTGCTGTATTAACACACAATATTTCTCATTTCTGAAGTTTATTTCCCTTTTAGTTACTTTCTATTGAAATCGTGATATAAATGGCTCACATGGGCTAGTCCAATGCTAATGCAGTTGAAGGCTGTTCGT